ATCCCTGTGTTGCCAGGAGCATGCTCACACAGAGCTCTGGCACCTATGTCATTCTCCAACAATGACTTCACTTGGGGTTTGGTGTGTCAAGCCCAATCCATGCTTCTGCGTCAAAGCTATGCCGTAGCCTACTCGTAGAAATGTACCCTGACGTGCACCTCCCCAGAAATGTAACTACACGTTGAGGAGATGTAGACTGCAAGAGCGGCGGTTGGTCCGCTTGGTAGCATCGCATTTCCGGCAGACTCGGCGCCATTTTTGGTTTGAGGTGAAGGAACGAACACTGACAACATCTTTCTTTTCTTTGTTTCAGTTTTTCAAGAAAAGGTAATTGCATTTCAACATCTATCAGCCCAACACGATCGGCTGAGTACAAACAGAGACACCAGAGAACTTGTAAATAAGCAGAACAGAAACCTGAAGACAACCAACACCAGCATAGAAACTCTACCGCCACTAGCATTTCGGTGGTGTAATTGCAGTGTGACTCACATGCACCTGCACACAACTACGAACACTCGGCCCCGTGCCTAGAATACGTGCTTAACTATGCATTGCTTTGACGCAGAAGCATGAAGTGAACTTTAGAACCTTCGTTTGTCATCCAGCAGCCACACACAAATCCTAATCAAAGCCCCATATGCCCGCAGCTGTAGATGCACACACACGACTGCACACACACAACAAAACACAACAAACCTGTACATGCACATTGGTCCTATGTAATCTCAAGGCTCTCTGATGACACATGAAAGGCTCATTGCTGCTCCGTTGTGAATGTGGGAGAAAAAGCATGTGCTCGCTCAAAATAGACAGGAAAATGGGCCTGCATCAGGTCTGTGTACATGCTGGCTTGTTTGTATGATAATACGCAGGCTCTTTGTGTACTTCCTGTTTACATGAGCAAGTATGCATTCGCATTATCGCCCATCTTGGTGTGCCCACATGTGAAAGTGCGCCTGTTTCTGTGTGTGTGGAAAAGAGAGGGAGAGGGAGAGAAAAGGAGGCTGTCTTCTCTGTAGTGTCAGCCTTTGATCAGTGTCCCTATTTGTGTGTGTGTGTGTGTGTGTGTGTTAATGTTAGTGTGTGTGCGTTTGCGTGCACGCACCAACCCCTGGTGTCTTGGAGGCAGATGAAACACTGTGCCTCTATCCGGGACTCACAGAACACCCACTATCTTTCTCTCCTTCTCCTTTACTCTCCCTCTTTCTCTCTCCGCCTCTCTCTTCCCCCTCACCCCTTCTAACCACCACTCCTTACCACGGCCATTTTAAAGGCAATTCATGCAGCGCAGCGCTTTCATCTCGCTTTGCCGCATTTTAACCGGCTCCCCTGTTTTCTCAAGCCTTTTATCAGATTATAAAAGAACGGGTGAAATGGCCTGCTGCTGTACACTGACTCATAGTCAGACGGACGCAGTGTGAAGTTGCAGGAAAGACAAGATAACGTCAGGATCCTGCATGTCTGCTGGGTCTGTGTAGCCCTGTTCAGTCACTTCCGTAGTTTGATGTCCCACCAGCACGGCAACTTCTTTTGCAGGGACATTCTCTAAAAAGCAAAGCATAGCAATAAATAATCTGGCTTCATTAATATGATTAATTCTAATAATAATTACTTTTATAGAGCACTTATTTTGCCACACAAAGTCCAAAGTGCTGCACAACAAGAAAACAAATGGTACAGAAATAATAATAATCGAGATTATAGAACAGTGATAACCTGGAACCCCAACTAAATTCAGGAATATTCCTCCTGAAAAAAGTATGTTTTTGGAAATGCCTCAGAACTCCTCATTTCCTCAGGAAAATCTGAAAATCAATTCTAAAACAAACAGGGATCCAGTGTAAAAACAGTATAAAACAGGTGTGATGTGATCATGTCTCTTAGTTCTAGTTAAAAGCCGAGCTGCTATATTAATCACTGCTCTGTATATTTTAAGCAAGAAACAATGCTGACATGGAAGCATTGCTATGCATTGCACTAATTATCCACATTCCTGGCCCTTTTAGCATAATGATGTATCATGGTTATTTCATTGGGGGCATTCGGCAGCTCATTTGCCTTTCTTGTGTTTGCCTTGATTGATGCACCCAGACATGCATCCTATTTGTGTGTAATTGTGCTGTCAGTAAATGCATGATGGGCTCACAACATGTGCTTCGATCCCTTTTGTTTGTATGGATCATTTGAGATGATGACTATCAGTGGCCTTTGGCTGCAGGATGAAGAGTAATTGTTCCATAATGTTGTGGTATAAGCCCTTAAACACAAATGCAGCATATTACAGCAAAGAGATTTTTGGACAAGTGAAACTGTAAATCATTCAAAATGTCAACGGCCCAAATCAACATTCATATTCCTTTACATTTTATAGGCCACTTTCAGATGAGATAAGATAAACTTTATTCTTCCCATGCTGGAGACATTCACCTGTTCCTGCAGCAGATAGTCAGAATGAGGCCAACAGCAAAACAAGTGACAGCATAAAAATAGAATAAAAAAGGCAATAAAAATATAAAATAAGATAAAACACATAGAAACTGTATGTAATCTACACCTTTTCACCACAGATTTGTAGAGAAGTGTACTTGGGTAAAGTGCAGTGGCACACGATGATTGCTGAAGGATATATTCTGCTGAAGGATATATTCTGTATTTGTGCATTATGTATAAGGAGATATAGTTGTATACATATATATGCATATATAGACTGTATAAGTATATATGTATATGTTTTAAGGATATATATTGTTGTATATATCGTTGTCAGGGCCACAGTGACAGTCATTGCATCATGTCATTTTCTTAATGCATCACCCTTTATCTATTTTATTGTTATTTGCATTATAGTTTTAAGGAAAATGTGTTCAATGTTGGGGGAGAGTGTAAATTGTCCACAATGACTTTGCCACAAGGTGGCGTCTTATCCAACGATTGGCTCTTTCTACAAAGTGTTGGTATTCTGTTTTGTGAAGTGTGGCCATGTATTTTTGTAATGGTTCATCACCACGAATTAAATGTGTGTGTGTGTGTGTGTGTGTGTGTGTGTGNGTGTGTGTGTGTGTGTGTGTGTGTGTGTGTGTGTGTGTGAGAGGCAGAGAGATTGTGTGACTGTGTCTCATTCTGTGTGTCTACTAGATTCACAGATCTATGCTTCTACAGATTTGTCTACAAATATATGAATCTCACCGCACTTGCATATTACACTTTTACAGATTCTTTACACATGTACGCACACACATATTCAGTATGTTCACATTTCCAAATGTCAGTATGCATTGGCGGATTCTTTTACACATTTACAAATCTTATTTTACCCACAAGGACTGAAATCTCTACACACACACATACAAATAATATTGCTACAATATTGGCCCCATACATTGTACCCTACACATTTCCATGTCTTGGCAATGCAATATGAATGAAGGCGCATTTTGATCCACTACTGTTGGATGATTGGTGTGGTTTGTCAAAATTAACAGCTGGTGGCACTCAGTCTCCAGTCAGGTACCATTGAACCACTGCAGATGACATAGATGACATAATTAAAGCAGTGAAAAAGAAAACATGGTGGAAAAGTATCTTCACATTGCATTGCATCTGTTTTCATTGCATGTCGTATTTTGCTCAATAGACACACCAGCACCAGCATTTTTGTGACACATATATATTTATATATGACATTATATATGTGCTAATTGTGATGCATCGTAGACTAAGAAATTCCTGTGACTATATCTTGGGTTCTTGTTGAAGTTCCCACGGCAGTCAACATACTGAATATTTGTGTTAAGTAGATGCTGGGAGCTAACTGTTCTCAAGTGTGTAACCTCAACTGTAGTGGCTTAATTGATGAGCTTACCAGTGTACCTGCCTTTAATAAAGCTCTAATCAGGAGTCCCATTAGGATCCAAGAGCCTTTCAGTTAATGGGCACTTAAATAGAAAAGATTTCGGTCTTTGGTGGAACAATTGAAGATACTCAGCAGTGATCATGAGAGGCAAATGCTGGCTAACCTACAGTGTCCCTGCTCATAGTAATGAAGGAACACGTCTCTGATGTGTTTTGAATCTTTTCTGGATGACGACTGATACAGAAGAACAAGCTCAATCCACACAAAACCCTCAGCGATAGAATCAGCTCATTGTTGGTTGTAGTCTTTATCTGGGATTTGTGAACAGTAAGAGAAATGGAGAATATTTAAAGAAGGCTTTAATACCAGGCATCATGTGTCATCACTTGTAATCCAGTTACGGGTGTGATTCAGATTAGGGTCACCTATGTGCAGGCTGCTGTTACTGTAAGTGGTTTTCTGTAACATTCCAGGCTCAACGGCATAACACAGCATAAATTTCATTAAAGCCCCTTTCCCACTGGTCAAGAATCTAACACCTGACAGGTGCTAAAGCTTCAGATGCTATTTTTGATGGAAATGGGAAATGGGCACTGTTGCCTCCCAGCAAGAAGGTCCCCAGTTCAAAGACATGCAGTATGGTGGATAGGTTAATTGGAGACCAAATGGACCTTAGGTGTGAATGTGTGCATGAGAGGCTGTTTGTGTGTGTTTGGCCCAGCGATGGGGTGTACCTCTCATCCAATGTCAGCTGGGATTGGCTCCAGCTCCCCCCTGGTTTCTGGATGCCAGATGCATCAGAGAGACTGGGCAGATGAGCCGTACTGACATCAACAACTTATACTGCCACTCCCAAATTCAATTCAATTCAATTTTATTTGTATAGCGCCAAATTATAATATACATTATCTCAAGGCACTTTACATAGAAGGTCAAGACCTTAAAATCAAATCTATGCTGTCTTTACAAAAAGGCGTATTATAAACTTACAAAGTCTTAAGGTGCTCCTCTATTAGAAAAAAAAGAAATATATATATAACTTTGGCTCTGAGTCCAGTCTCACAGATATTTTGTACCCACCTCCAGTTATTACTCCACAACACTAATGTCATCTTGTCTCTCTCTCCTGTCTCTTTATACCCAGGCTTCCTCAGCACTGGTGATCAGTCTGCAAAGGGAAACTACGGCCTGCTTGACCAGATCCAGGCGCTGCGCTGGCTCAATGAGAACATCGGCCACTTCGGTGGAGACCCAGAGAGGATAACCATCTTTGGCTCCGGAGCAGGGGCATCCTGCGTCAACCTCCTCATCCTCTCGCACCACTCAGAGGGTAATTGAAGATCCTGTGTTATTTGCTTGTTCTGGTAGAGCATCCATTTTTATTCATCTGTCACCTCAACCATCCATTTGCTTTTTCTTCCTGTCTGTATCTTTATATTCAGAACATATGTTGACACAAAAACGTCGTTTTCAAACCAAAACAATCTCTGTCCACACAAGCATTTTGTCTCTGTATCATTTGTAATCCCTGTACATACTAACATGTCTCAAAACGTGTTACCCTTGACTACACTTGACATGCGTGTGCCGATGTACACAGGAAGCATTTGGTTGTTGGTCGCAGATTGCTCGAATAATTGCTCATCTCCTGCACATGTCAAGAGACCTGAACTGCACAACAGCAGTGTTTCCAAACTTCTCCATTTAAGCGGCTCTAAAATTCCAGAGAAGTATGGACACCAGGCGTATCTGTACTATTGATGTTTTTTCAAACTAAAAGGTAGTAATGTGGATGTAGGCTCAGTATTTAACTAATCTTTACTTACACAGCATTATTGTTCTTTATATAAGCTGGAAACTGATGGCAAGGCGTGTCTGATTCAACCTTAACAATGCATGTATGTTCATGTATTTGCTGTTGGAATTAAATTTGTTCCTTTCCTTTGGCCATGGTGGGGTCCATGGTCAGATGGAAACTCAGCTAGCAGCATCCAATTTAGAAATCATTAGGTCCTGACACCTGTATGCTCAGGGTTAAACACTGCTCATCCGTTGAGTTGTGGCGTGGCATATGAGTTTGTCCGGATTTCATCTAGTTGGATGTCTATGGAGGATAAATGACACGGGAGCTCCCGCATTACCGCACATTACCTGACTTGACAAGCGCTCTCTGTTAACGGTCCACTGCTCTACAGCAGAGAGGTTTTATCCTACATCTATCTGACCTAATGCTCCCCATTATCAACAACACACCCTGAGGGGCTAAGTGTTAACATTGCACCACCAAAGGAGAAGAGGCCTGTGGTCCAGTCGACTTTGATCTGAATTGAGATCAGTGTGGCTGACGACCCGCAGCCAAATGGTCACGCACTCATTGCTTTGATCATGTCGTTCTTAAAGCTGTCCTCCTCCGATCGCATCTTCTCTGTTCTCCGCACCACTCGTCGACTCCCACTCACTATCTCTCTCCTCTTTTCATCTTCCATCTCAAACACGCGTAAACCGCAAAGGACAGCAACAGGGAAGAAATGGTGGGTGAAAAGAAAGAGAGATTAGAAGGAGTATGTTCACACAACCGCACATCTATTTCAATCACCGTTCAGTCTGTGCGTGTGTCTGTGTGTGTGTGTCTGTAGCACCAAGCAGAAGTCTGACATGTCTCTAATTTTAACTCATTCTATCTGCATAGATGTGCCCTGAAAACAAATGTGTGTCATCAAAGCTTGAGTGAGCATCTGTCCACTGCCATCTCACAGTGTCCATATAATACATACTCTATAATTAAACTGATGTCTGTTAACCCTTCATTTTAAACCAGGCCCACCCAACCTTTATCCTCTGATTGGTTAAATCCCCCCTAAGAGCCCTCTGGTTATATATTAAGTATGACAGTGGCCATAAATTGCTTTTGACTTGTATCTGCAAAGAGCAAATACAAATAAAAAACTGAACATTTTTACAAAAGAATTGCATCGTTGAGGATAAACAATTATGCATATATTAACATTGCATGCTCTGCTCACCAGGCTCAGTTGACAATATTAGCACATTTGGAATGAAGAAGGCAAAGTTGTGAAGAGTAAAGAGTACATGCAAACAATTGTGGAGCATGAGGAAGAGTAGTGCATAAGACAGGTTAAGTTAAAAGCTAGCCTGACTGAATAACAGATCATCCATCCGCCCTGTATTGCTGCACTGCCTCTTTGCTGTGGGAGTCCACTGCCCCCGCCAAGAAGGGCAGCACCACAAACATCTGGCTTTTGTCTGCAATGGGAATGGCTTCAATCTGCATTCATTCCCGGGTCAAATGACTCTGCAGTTGACACAGGTTTTTATTTGCACTGATGGAAAGATGCCATCCAGTTGAACGTGCTGAGTGTATTCTTTACAATGCACCACTTTCAGATAAGTTATCTTTATTTTCACTTGATCAGACTTGATCCCAAAAAATCTGTGCTTATTTTTAGATGGTGACAAAGAACGAAACTGTTCTAGTTGAGCAGGAACCGTAACGGAAACCTTGTATTAACCCCTTGTCTTCTGTCACTGACACCCAACCCCCTCTGCTGCCTGTCCACTCAAATGGCTCTGCTTTGTCATCACCCCATCATCATCGTCTTCGTCATCATCAGCATCTAACGGTGTAACATCAGCCCACTAGAAGCGGCCTGTCTGTCATGCAACCCCCACCCCCCCACCCCTCTCCCCCATCAGCGTTGCCAGGTAAGGAGGCTGTCATCTGCACCCGCAAGGGACACCGATCATGTCAACAACACAGCATCACAAATCAAGCCCGACAGCAGACATGTGCAGGATGGATAGCAGGATGGCAATGGCAGACAGGATGGAGGGAGGGACTATAAGTGATACTGATATGATGGAGGGTTGGGGATTAGAGAGGGGACGTCGATATCCTTGGTATCCAGTGTTTAGGGAAACACTGGGAGAGGAGGGAGGAATGGAAAGGTCGAGGTTTGCTGAGGTAATGTTAGAGAAAGAGAAAAGAAAACTCTCTAACCTGGTATATTTTAGAACAGAGAAGTAGCTAGGAAGAGGGAGGTATTGAGAAAGGGAAGGCAAGAGGCACATGGACAAAGAAACTTATTTTGAATGAAATAATATCCAGCTCCCACTTCTCTGTGTCTGTCTCAATGCAGATATGTGGGTATAGTTGTCTCCGAGCTACTTCTTACTGTAATTGATTTCCCAGGGAAAGGGGGGCTCTGCGGCTCTGCTTAATAATTAACTGACCGTTCTAGCGCCCATGAGAGGCTAGAGAAAGAAAAAATAGAGCGCAAGCTGAAACGAGTCAGGCAGGCGGCCCCTCGGCGGCCCACTTGAGTGGTTTAAACAGCTCAGGACACGCAGAACTAACAAGACAGAGAAAAAGAGACACCAAGAGAAGGAGACAAACAGCGGAGAGAGGAATGAGGAAAGAAAGAGGGAAAAGTGGTCTTTCCAAATCTCAGCTATAGGCTTACTCTCTGCCTCCATTTTTCTGAGTTACAGCACCATAGCAGGCTCTTTCTGTGATATTTTCTGTAGTTCCATTCCTGATCTGCCAGTTTTGCTCCAGTGACAGTGATGAAATGAAAATAAATTGACTGCATCCTTTCTCATTCAAAAACTGACGTTCAGTCAAACAGCTATACAGGTCATCACCCTGCCGGCAAAAAGGCAAAAAAAAAGTATGATGTTCAAATTTTTTGCATCACTAGAATAATTTAGCTTCTTTTTCATCTGTCCTTTTTAGGTCTGTTTCACAGGGCCATAGCCCAGAGTGGAACAGCCATCTCCAGCTGGTCTGTCAACTACCAACCCCTAAAGTACACTAAGATCCTGGCCCGGAAGGTGGGCTGCACCTACACAGAGACGGCTGACCTGGTCGACTGCCTGAGACGCAAGAACTTCAGGGAGCTGGTGGACCAGGACATCCAGCCAGCCCGCTATCACATTGCCTTTGGCCCTGTGGTGGATGGCGACGTGGTGCCTGACGATCCTGAGATCCTTATGCAGCAGGTGAGGGAACATAAAAAACAGGGCCTCAGTCTGTATGGCTTCGATGGTTAAAATCATTTACCAGCAGCTCAACAACACAATTGTGGGAGGGCAGACTTTTCATATGCACACATACAGAGTGTGAGCATGAGTTATGCTCTGGTGGTGACATTTACCAGTTGGTGTGAACTCCTGCTAAAACCCCATGAAAACTGCTGTGGTCATGTACACAGGCCTATGGTGCACAACCTTTTTTGCTTGTGATCCTTCAATACAAGTATACCATCACCGGGGGGTGCAAGTACACAATGTGGGAGCAGTTCTCAGCTTCACTGATATAGCTTAAATGTCTGGAAAGCTTGTTTTTCAAATAATGGAAAAAACGATAAGAAATAGTCCAAACTATTTTGTATTGGAGAATTTCATTGTATCTTTTTTCCTTATTTCCCACTTCATCTTCTGACCTCCAGGGTTGGCATCCTCAGTGTCACAGACGCTGGATGAAAAATCAAACAAGTGTCACTTTTGCAGATATTTTATTACATACATTTTTCAAGGGACCAAAGGAAAATTGAGGATCTCTGAGAAATAATTAGACGTGAGCATTTGAGGGCCAAAAATGAAGCCTGTCCCAAACAGAGCTCTTGTGCATTAATTAACACTGTGAAAAACTCCATGCTGAAACGCTGTTGCCAAAAACCTGCAGAACGATCTTTGGAGCTTGTGTTTGAGGTATTTATCCTCGTGGGATGATGGAGTCTGGTATTAAAACATAAACTTATGTCTTATTCATGCAAAGAGATGACACGGTGCAGGTTAACATTTCCTGGCATGAATATCACATAAAGCTGACTGATGATAGATTCATGTAATCAGCATCATCTGCATCAGCACTTATTTCCCTTATTGCACCACCAGGGGGAGTTCCTCAACTACGACATCCTAATAGGAGTGAACCAAGGTGAGGGGCTGAAGTTCGTGGATGACAGCGAGGACAACGATGGCATCTCAGCCGCGGCGTTCGACTACACCATCTCGAACTTCGTTGATAACCTCTACGGATACCCTGAAGGTCTGGAACGCCAACTCATTCATTTCTGTTTTGACTCATTTGGAAATAAAGTTGACTTTTTTTATTTATATATATTATACATATCCATGAAAAATTTACTTAAGAACACTAAGTAAATTTGTTACATCCTACCCCCTAAAGTAGATGTCACAAAACACACCACAGTTCTACTTTTTAAATAGGAAGTGCTTCTTTTTTGCTATGAATATAGTTACATTACTATATGCTCTCAACAAGTATACATCAACAGCAGCTTCCTGTCGAAACGAACAAACATGAGCCCCGAGAACGAATCAAGCCAGACAAGCATACTAAGGATACAGCTTATCATTGAGATTATCCGTCACTGTGGTGGGTCTGCGTTGTGGCCTTTCAGGCTCTGTGGGAATTAATGCTGTCTCTCATCATCCCCCAGGCAGCCAGCTCCCAATCACAGTGCTGTTGTTCCTCACAGATCAACGTGCAGACCCTTCACAGTGGGCCACAGTCAAAATACAGGCACATTTGGATGATGCAGTCACGCTCCATCTCAAGTGCACGTCACTCATTCTGCTCTCCGAGAGGCACATCCGCCGTTTTTGTCTTTTCTCTTTTTCTCGACAAAACACATACAGCACTTGCAAACACACTCACCACTGATATATTCATTTATATTTATATCAGTCATTCCAAATAATTAACAGGTACATGCAGGTTTTTTAAACATGGGTAAAAAAAAAAGAAGAAAAAGGCAATTGACTGGGAGTGAGTCCGATTGCAGACAAAAGCCAGTTGTTGATGGTTGTTAGTGGGTTTTTTGACCAGTCGAAAAAGGGTTTTACTTTTCTTCCACCTTCAGCATCCAATCTCTTTAGTCCTCTCCCTCAAAATGTTTCATCCCTTTCATTACTTTCCTCTGAGCTGACCACATTTTCTCTTTTATTCCTTTACCCTTATTCTTATTTTTCTTTCCCTGTCACTTTTCCTCTCCCACATCTTATCCTCCAGGCAAAGACATCCTGAGGGAGACCATTAAGTTCATGTACACCGACTGGGCGGACAGGGACAACGGAGACATGCGGAGGAAGACCCTCCTCGCTCTGTTTACAGACCACCAGTGGGTGGCACCAGCAGTGGCCACCGCCAAGCTACATGCTGAGTTTCAGTCCCCGGTTTACTTTTACACATTCTACCACCACTGCCAGACGGAGACGCGACCTGAATGGGCTGACGCCGCCCATGGAGATGAGATACCGTACGTGTTCGGTGTGCCCATGATCGGTGCCACAGATCTGTTCCCGTGCAACTTCTCGAAGAATGACGTCATGTTGAGTGCCGTGGTCATGACTTACTGGACCAACTTTGCCAAGACTGGGTAGGCCTTGCTGATCATTTTATTTCAGACTGATATATGTTTTTAATTTATTTATCCTTTGTGGTGCTTCAGGGTTTACCAGTTAGTACCGCGTCTCATCACTAGTAGAGTTAAAGGGGTTTGTTAATGAAGATGCGCGTCTACAGCTGTTTTCAGACATGAACCCGGGAGAACTCCGCATTCAGGCAAGGGGTGGTGCAGCAGGTGGAGGCAGGACTTAAGTATAAACTCCCCAGCAGATCATGTGTTTTAGTTTAACAGCATCAGCTCTTATCACCAAAAGCTCATGAATCTCACAGTTTTTTGTCTGTGTCTTGTACACACCTCTTTTCCATCCAGAGATTTGTTTTTACATTTGAAAAGTCATCAACACACCTTGTAGCTTGTGGTGAATCATCTGGAGAATTTCCTGCTGTTTGATCAAACAGACTCATTCTGAAATTCTCTAGAGTTTTTAGTGACCGGAGAAACTCTGGAGATAATCCTCTGTGGGCACGGCCGTGGGAGGGCGGAAAAAGCCAGAGCCTCTCACTCGGACATTTGTCTTTTCACATACAGAGAATGTCTGTAGGATCTCTGGAGTTCGGTGCATGTCTGAAAGCAGCTTATGATTGGGGGCTGATTTCTCAAGTAGACTTATGAATAGTTTAAATCTGACAATCTTGTTTAAATCTACACAGTGAAGAAATCCTTATACCAGATTGATTAAGATCTTGACCTGAAATATATAACTGAGATTCCTCCTCTGTTGTCCATTAGGGATCCTAACCTGCCAGTCCCGCAGGACACCAAGTTCATTCACACCAAGCCCAACCGCTTTGAGGAGGTTATCTGGACCAAGTTCAACTCAAAGGACAAGCAATATCTCCACATAGGCTTAAAACCTCGTGTCAGAGACAACTACAGGGCCAACAAGGTGGCCTTCTGGCTGGAATTAGTTCCCCACCTCCACAGTCTACATGAGGTGCTCTTCCCCACCACTACCCGTTCACCGGCAGGCCCTCGCACAGGAAATACCGGACCCTGGCCCAGGACACCGGGCCCTCGCACCACCCGTCACCCCTACCCTACATTCCCCTCTGAACTGGAGCCCGAGGGATCTGAGCGTCCACACCAGGACCTCTTCCCTGGAGACATGCGGGACTATTCCACTGAGCTTAGCGTGACAGTCGCCGTGGGTGCATCACTCCTCTTCCTCAACATCCTGGCTTTCGCCGCCCTTTACTACAAGCGTGACAAGCGACACGAGATGCGACGCCACCGGCTGTCTCCCCAACGGGGCGGCCCAGCCAACGACCTCGCTCACAGTCAGGAGGAGGAGATCATGTCCCTGCAAATGAAGCACTCAGAGCATGACGCGCACCACGACATGGAGCCTCTCCGGCCCCATGACATCCTGCGACCCGCCTGCCCGCCCGACTACACGCTGGCGCTACGCCGCGCCCCGGACGACGTGCCACTGATGACGCCCAACACCATCACCATGATCCCCAGTACCATTACCAGCATGCAGCCTCTTCATGCCTTCAACACCTTCCCCTCCACTGGCCACAACAACACCCTGCCCCACCCCCACTCCACAACCAGGGTATAGTAGGGACTGCCCTGACACAGCACCACCCGAGGACCAGGAAGACTGGCTGTGCTACTGATCCAGGAGGGAGGCCTCTAGACACGGGCCTCTCTGCTCTCTTATGCTCTTACTCCTCATGTGCTGTCAAACTTAGCAGCTCCCTCTACTGGCGCCGCGGGGAGAAGCAACTGAACTGCACGGCAGCAGATGATCAGTTGGGGGCGGTTTAGATCTTTTACAGATACTGTTTTCAAAGAAAGTCTGCTGTTTCCAGACTAAAGCCCTCTGACATTTGTCAAAGGGACATGTGCTTTTACTTTTGTGTCATCTCTCTTTTCTCTCACTGGTGTATTACGTGCATATATCGTTCTCTTTTCTACATCTGTGTCTTATCCCTGCTTTTGTTCCTCTCATTCAAAATGCAACTATCTCTCTCCCCTTTGCTCTTCTGTACTGAGCTTTAGGAGGAGACATTGAGTGCATACAGTTGGCATAAAGCTATGAAAAGACAGATATCTGATATTTTGTTCTACCAGCATTCTTGGTGCCAAGTATGTACTTCTGTGTTTGCTTTCTCATCAAGGGAGGGAAAAAAACAAAACTAAAGAAAATTCTTGACTATTCCCATTTACTGTCAACTAACAGATGCTGTGTGTTCTCATGACAAAGTGCCAAACTGGCCCTGGATTGTGTTTTTATTTCTTTTTTTCAATCATTTGTTTAATCGTTGTTTTTTGTGGAACGAATTTTTTCTGAAAATATAGATATAGAGAAATGATATTATATATAGTTATATATAAATGTGTACAAAGGAGAAAGTATATAAATGGGGTTTTCTCAGTGGGGATCTATGCATGAATTATTTTTAAAGATGATGGCGGGGGATAGGACACTGTATCTGTCAATGCACGTTTCCCAAATCTACTCAAAAACCACATCGGTCCGCTTTGGATATCAGTCTGTTTAACCTCACAGAATGAGAGCATCACAGGAAATCTTGAAGTAAGTCAAAAAAAGAAAGAAGAAAATCCACCTCTTCACCTCCCGGCAATCATTTCTTATTAAAGAATGAGTCATTCCTGCAAATCTCAGAAGATGTTAGAGTCAAAGCAACAACTGTGAACACATTCTTCCGTTTGTTCTTTCCTTCATAATCTCATTCAGGGGAATTTCTCTAAACCGGGTGATGCAAGGCTCCAACAGCTATCCCATCATGCAACTGTAGCTACTTCCTCTGTCCATCTGCTTTTTTTTTTTTTTTTACTAAAGTAAGCAGATCTGTTGTTGAAGCTGGCGTGATCAACATTATTTTTGTATTTCAGCGAACGTGAGAAACAAAGCGGAGCCCGACAGCCCCTTTGCCCTGATACGTGCACTCTTCTTCTCCTGTCTGTGCCCCTGATTGCAGCACATGCATATTCTCCTTTACATTGGCATAGGTGCACCCTAATGAGACAGCAAGGAGATAGAAAGGCAGGAAGATCCCCATGGTAAAAACGTTGACTCCAGAATGAGCTCCCTCCAGCTGCCTCCACTCTCTCTCCCCCTCTTCCTCCATCACTTCTTCCCTCCCTCCCTCCCCCTCATCAGGACTCTAGCTCTGTACATCAAGACTGACACCCACGCTGCAGTGATCGCCCGCAACTACCCCACTGTGACCACGAAACTCCTGACTTCACTGTGTCAGCGGCGCACCACACGCCATTGCCGACCTCAGTTCGGCTCCACGATTACCCTCACACCCGAGGGTTGGCTCACGAGGGGTGAGTTTTCGTGAGCTCATGGGTTGTAAATGAGAACTCCTAAGCACACTGAGGGTAACCGGTGGGCCTTCACAGCCGCTGCAGGATGAAAACGGGGCTCAGATCTCCGACACAGGGTAAAAGCAACACACTTGATAACTGATGTTTCTGATTCCTTTCTTTTTGGGGGGGAGGTTAAGGATCTCAAATAAAACTGGAAAATGGGTGATTAAAACAATTAGTTGACTGAACTGATGTGCTGTCATTTGAGCCCACAGGAAACCAATGATAGCTTCCATCCAGTATGAGAGAAGTTAGTCACCAGTGTTGTCTTGTGTTTGTTTGTTTTCTATGATATTACTGCCTACCAGGGTGGTGTGGGAGAGATATATACAGTGCCCGGCTGCTTCTGTCAAGAGATTTTGTAAAAGGGAAAAATGTGCACAATGTTAAACACAAGACAACTGCCTCAGGTGTGTCGCAGGCAGTGCTCTGGAATAGAGGACAGGACAGCGGCGCAAAGGAAAGTGCGCGCTGTGGGGACGAGACATCGGGAGGAGATTGGATACAGACTCACAGCCTTAAATGTATCAGTTAATATCGGAAGAATGAAAGGAGAGGATGAAGCAAGTGAGGAAATTCAAGGGCATGGTCATCTTTCTACCCACAAAGTTTGCCACATCGCTACTCAGTCTGATGGAGGATCTCATGGATCAGATCCACGTGAACCCTTTTGTAATAGCTCCGGGGCGTTGTGATGAAAACTTTGCCACAGCACGGCTACAACGACACGGCTGGAGGTGAAAACCAGGTGTTCAGTTTGGTCTGTTTTAATTCCTTTGTCTATTTTGTAAAGCAACACTTGAGGGCGCTATTTTGGCAGATTCACCACAGGTCTGCCCAACAGGAAACAGGAAGAAAAAAGAAACCAAACTGGGTGGCAGGACAGAGACACACAACATCTGGTGGAGGATCCAAACTGTACATTTTTAAGTGTAAGAATCAAACAGACAAAATATTTGTAAATATTAAGTTTCTTGTTTGTTTTTCTTTTGTTTTTCTTTATGAGTGAATGAATGAACTGCTTATTTTGTGACGACAAAAGACAACAGGTGCAGTTTGCAAAAAAAAAAAGGCGTCAAGCTCGAGGCTTCAGATTAGTTGGTGAGTAGAAGATGCTTGCCACCAATCACTTTTCATTTAATTCTAATTCTTTCTTCATTGCCCACTACGACATGGGCATTCTGTAGCACCGTCAGACACTGTAGCAGATCACCCCCACTCCCTTGCAGAGAGCACATGACAGAGGGCCTGATGCTATAGTTAGCATTAGCTTTTTTCCATTTAATATTACTATTTTAAATTTGAAACATGCTACTAAAATCTGTGGTTTGCGATCAGCGAAGCGTCGTCTTGTTCTTTTCCCCTCATAATTTTGCATCATTTTATTTTTCAACGATCCACCCCTGATGAATCTGTGCTGCGTGATTGGTGTGGCATCCAGAGGCTGAAATACTGAGGAAAGCCAGCTTTGCCTTTTGCCAGCTCACTGATTGCCAGTGTCACAGTCAGGACTTTTAAAAAGTGGTCAGTTAAATGTCAACTCACTTCACATGTAGCAATGTTTACATGTTGCCACTTAACCACTCGTGGGACAGACATGAGGGCTTTGATACCATTAGATGCCTCATATCCTCATAGAGCGACGCCATCACACATGCCGCCCAGCGTCTCTCTTCCACACACTCTGTTTGCGATGTGTTTATGGAGGTTGTGTTGATCTTACACTGATGCGATGTAGCAGAAAACAGTATTGTGTTCCAAAAAGTTGAGGGAAGGACAAATTAGGCCAACAATGATGCTTCATAGTGGGTCTGGCCGTATGTATGTGGACACACACTGGGCCTATGTAGCTCACTGCGGCCCTGAGGCTCGCACCGCTCCAGAGCTGCGGTCGTCCAACTGAAACCGTTTCAGTGAAATGCGGAGACTTAACGCATGTTAGTGACTTCTAGATCCTGTGTCATGTCAGTGATGCGTGAAAGCACGTGGTAAACAACCCACAATTACAAACACACACACATAAATCCTCAGCTTGCGAAGTTGCACCTGTTGTCTTGTTTTTAAATTCTTTGTTGAATTCAGATACCCAAGACGAGACGAAGAAAATGTTAAATAATGGAGTTTAAGAAAAAAAAGATGATTATTAAAAAAGTACAGTAAAACTATATAAATAAATGAGGTGATGATATTTCTGTTTACTTTAGAAGTTATTATACACTGTATGCTGTGATTCTGATCTGGGAAACATTAAAGACATTCATAGCCAGACTGCTGATTTGGTTTCTTTATTCAGTCAGTTATTAGATATGGAAAAAAATCCTATAGATCCATCCGATTCCCTTCATTATTAACAATTTGACAAGTTAACATGAATCTGGTTATTTACACACCCAGAGAAAAATCATTATTATTTTTTACACAATTATTTTAAAAAGGTGTATCAAATGCTACAGAAGTCACTCCAAAATATTGTTAACATTTCTGCAACTGCAACACAGACTGTTTCAATAAGTGTTGTCTGCTGCAACATTTTACTTCACCACTAGATGTCACTAACTTCTACACACGGAACCATGAATGTCAGCAGCAGTGTTCAACTATGTATTAGGGCCTGAGTGCGACAGTGCAAAAACTTTATTGAAACTCTATGTATTCGTGAAACATGCTTGATGTCTGTGGTTATTTTAACTTCACCCCTACAGCCACTGATAGATCACATCCATCTCAAACCCACCTAATACGCTTTGTTGGCATGTGCAGTGTCGTTGTGATGCAACTTTTGCTTGTAATTTCCTCCTGAAACACCTGCAGACGGATTTCCATCTGGGTGTAACAGCTCAGAACAGCCTTGAGACATCAACAGTTCCCATGTGTCAACACGAATCAGCTGCTTTTTGTTAGGATCTCGACTGACAACGACAGGGAGCTTCAGTTGAGTGTATCCATCGACTTGTAGCGTGTGTGTGTAGCATGTTAGCCTGTTGCTTGTAATAAAAAACAACAACCAGAGTTTATGAGAATGGTGTCTATTGTCCCCAAAGTGCTTTTTATATCATCATATGAATTTTCCCCTACAAAACTGCTAATGGCTAAGCTAGTTGCTCGCTTGGTTATCATTAGTGATGTGCAAAATCATATTCCTTCGATATGAACATTGAATACATCAAAATGGTGAATATAAAAAGATTATAAACGCATGTGTTGAAAAAAAGTGTAATAATAATTAATTGATACTGCTAAAATATCCATTTCATTTTTTATGAAATAACTACTAGATTGAATCTGGGGGATCTGTGGTGATGAGCCTTGCCTGTGAGACTGTGGAGATGTGGCCATCGGTCAACAGTCAGTCAACAGAAGACGTCAGACCAGCGTGATCCAGTCAGTCGGACACCAGACAAGAACATTTGCATCTGTACCCAGGAGGTAGGGCACACTTATTCACAAGGACACATAATGGAAGTCTTGGATCTCTAGTACTGGATCTGAAAATTCAACTGTGAAGGCAGATTTTTTTGTAGTTATTGTTTTCTATTAATGCAGTCATAACAAGAGATTATGACAAAACAATTACTGTGGCCTAAATAATTTATGATTACCAGGGCTGCACGATTTAAAAAAAAAAAATCATATTAACTATTTCCTTGCTCAGAATTGAGATCACAATTGAATCAAAAATGTTTTCAATATACATGATTTTTGCGCTCATTGGTCTGCTCAAGTACATTTGAGTCAGTACACAGAACCACAAACTGGAGAGTCGGTGGTTGCCGTGAGCGTGCTGTTGCTAGATTGATGAGTCCCATCCGCCGCTACAAAAGAGTGCTGGTCGCCTGTTAATTTAGAGTTTATTATTATTGAACATATTGCATGTCCATATCGCAGCAAATTCAATGCAGTACTTAATTTGGTCCTTAACAATACATATTCTAAGTGTAAAGTCGATAAGATGAACGGTTGGTGAGATATGTATTCCACATACAGCCAGACAGACAGATTTCAAGAATTTTAGATTGATGTACAACTTTAACCTTGTCTTCTGAAAAGTAACATTACATTGTGGTTCACAGAATAGTGTCTGAATTCACTTTATTGTTGTTTCAACACACACTACAATAATACAAGGTATATTTATGTTTAGAGATTCTGTTACAACTCAGTGCACATACACAGTGCACTCATAAAACTACAGCTTGGTTGAACCAATTGTCTTGTTCCACATTCTTTGTTGAATTCAAAAACTCTCAAGATATGACACGCGATTAAAATTTACTGTTCTCTTTTGACCAGATCGCTTGTTGTCTCTCAGCTCATATTAAATGACTCTTTGAGACTTTTTTCTGCCTGCAGATGTGTGATGGTTTTCCAGGTTGTAGGAATATCAGCAGGCTTTGCATTGTAAGCTTCTGCAAACTCATCATTGAACCTTGCCATTACATATTTCCAGTAATCTGATGCCTGATAGCTTCCATCTGGAGGAATTTTCCAGCCTGGGAAAATGAATCTGTAGTTATTGTAAGAGTGCCATTTATTGCTTATAGCATCACAGTCAAAATGGGTTAGATTGAGGAATCTTAAACGAGAGAATAATTGGACAATTTTTGCATTCTCAAACTGTTTTCTATGCATTGTAGCATAGGAGTCCCATTTACCTTTTGTAGCATCACAGTGAAAAAGGTTGTCACTCACCACAGATGACGAGCAAATGTCAGTGACTAGTTTTTTTGTGTCTTTCCACCTGTGTCCATTCAGACCCTTTGGCCTATGCAGTTGAGCCGTATGCTCAGAATGGTCACCACCTCCTGACACACAGGCCACTGCACAGAAAGGACACTGTTTACCACATCCAATCACACTTGTGAAGAGCTCATTCTGGGGCTTGGCATCAAGGTGTTTAAGTATCTTCTCGATGTCTCTTTCTTTAAACTCTTTCCTCAGAGCTTGTTCCATTTCATCCACAAACTGTGTGAACCAGTCAGCAAACTGTTCCTGGTTTGCTTTGTTCAGGATCATGAAAGCACCAAGTGCATCCTGGGAAATGACCAGTTTCTYACCAAGTTCCTGACRGAAGTTGTTAATGAATGTTTTCAAGTCAGCACTTGTTTTCCTTTTGGCCTGGTAGATTGCATCCTTTATGCTGCTGCTACTTGAGTCAAGATGCTGTTTCACTAGCTCAAACAGCTTAGAACCATTTGAGAAGTGTTTCACTATTTGTTCGTGTATCCATTCCTTTACATAGMTCTCATATGAGCGGATATACCTTACATACTCCCTAAAGCTATCCTTTGAGAGCAAATCCAGTAAAATGTCATACTGGGAGTAGACTCTTGCATTGAACTGCGATTGTTTCTTCATTTMACCAATGATATGAGGACCCAGTTTACTGTAGACAAAGTTCTCAACTGCCGGCTTCAAACATTGTTTGGTGAATTCTTCTGCCTTCTTCTGGGACTGGTCTCGTTGATGGAACACATCTTTAAAACCATCACAAAACTTTTYTTTGTTTTTGTTCAGGCATACATAAGGGTCATTCTCACGTAGGAAATCATCGTGCATGATCTGGAAGTGTCTGGCTGCAATGCCACAGATGTGCTGTTTTAGAGAAACTTCAAACTCAATGCCTATGGTTATATCCTCATTCTTTTGCAGCCTCTCATCAATTATGCGAAGGATCTCCTGGATGTAAGCGTCAGAGTAGTTTTTAGTTGTTTTTGTATCTGCTTCAGGTTTTGCTGTTTTGACTTTTTCCATCACATACTGAGTGCATTCAGCTATGATGTTGTCAGCGATATTCTGTACCCTGATTGTGGGATCTTGAAAGGGWAAGTAATCGCTCATCGTCTTTTGAACTCTTTCCATCTTTCCTTTGGCTTCATATTTGAAAGGCGTTCTGCCACAATCTTGCAGTCTTCTTTGACTCAGCAATTCACAARCATGACTCCCTTTGGATGAGAGATTTAGTCTTAGGTAGTGGGAGACACTGGTGAAGACATTTGTTGGCTCTTGTTTGGAAAAAGACAGTTTCTGTACTGTTTCATTCCACATCTTATCAAATTCTTGGTTCAGTTGTTCATCTCTCATCTGGACTTTTGTCTGTCGACATTTATCGATCAGTGCACACACTGCTTTTTCAATTTCTTTTGTGTGATTTTCCTTGATTTTCTGAACTTCTGTCCGTCCCTGTTTGATTTCAGCCGCTGCTGTGAGTTGGCTATACACAGAGTTCTGCATGTCTTTTCGAAGAGTCTTTGCACTGTTTGCGAATTCCTCTTTGTATCCTTCTACCAGATGGACATTGCCGTCTTTTTGCTTGAAATAGTTTTTCAGTTTTTCAAGGAGCTCTTTCTCCAATTCCATCAGCTTTGTGGAGACTTCACTTTTCAAACTCAAGATGAGTTCTTTTAAGCCAACTCTTTGARATTTGGAAGCAGSTGTTCCTAAATTTGAAATGGTTGTTTCAGCATATGTAATCCACTTGTATATGGATTCTTTGAAGTCCCATTCCCAGTTGTTGAATTCTGTGCATAGCCTCATGTATGCATCAGCCACGAGACTGTTTCTGAAGCTGAAGATGAAGTTTTCATGCTTGACTGCTTTCCACAGGCTTGACATCCACTCTTTAAACTTCAAGATGTCATTAGCAGAGGACTTTCCTAGTATTTGGGTGATGTTTTTCTTGAGCTGATATACAGCKTCGCTGTACCCTGCATTGACTGGTGCCATTGGTGGGTTTCCATTCCAGAGTCCAGGAATGTACCAGTTCCCAGTTTCTGGATTGTACTCCATGACATCAGTGAAGCACTTGTTCTTTTCTTTCTTCTCCATTTTGGCCRYTGCCTGCGTCATCTCGTTTAACTGTTCCAAGAGCAGTTTCCTCTCTCGTAGGGTGTTCTCATTGGCTGCAACATCTGACACATTCTGGTGAACAAACTGACATTTAGGCTTTTTGCCCACCTCTTTCATCCTGAGAAACGCATGCACAACTATTTGGAGGATGTCCTTCATTTGTGTTGAATTCTYCATTGCAATATTGATAATGGTGATATCACTCAGCCCCACAACAAGTGTTGCCAACTCATTGTCATGCTCATGGCTATCATCCAGTTGTGCAAGCTCTGGTGACTTTAAGCCCTYAGTGTCAATGATAACCATGAAGTCACAGTTGAGGACTTCTCTGACATCTTCACTGATTCTGATGAGCAACATAAAAGCACCTCGGGTGCATCGACCACTGCTGACTGCAAACTGCACTCCAAACATAGTGTTAAGAAGAGTGGACTTTCCTGTGCTCTGAACTCCAAGAACCGTGACCACTAGTATCTTGTTCTTTGGAGACACCAGTTCATTGAGCTGAGAGAGAACATCACTCACCCATGTGAGAGGTATGTTGGATGCATCTCCATCTACAAGCTCAAGGGGAAATCCATCAAGCAACAATCCTGCACAGATTTTGGGCAGATGCTGTAGTTGTTTACGCGACAGATCGTGCTCTGGAAGGGAAAGTGAAGCTTCATAAATCTGACCCATTTCACGGAAGAAGTGTTCAGTTCCCAGTGAGCTGTTGGAGAGCTCTTTATCAATGACTTTGATGGCCTCTTTGTTCTCAGCATCTTTGCACTTTTCTTTGTACTCCTTCCTGAGGCCAGACAGTTTTTCTYGAGACAGGTTATCAAGGTTCATTCGCATCCATTTCAGGAAATAACGTCTCTCAATGCCTGGACTTGATATCGCATTGATGAAGCGTGTCATGGCATCTGATATGTTTTTAGAGCTCTGTTTCTCCCGAAGTTCTTCTTTCTTTTTCTGAAGCCCTCCTTTGTATATTTCTATGTCTTCAGGTCCATGATTTTTAAGCCGAAATTCTTCCTTC